GAGTTAGGACACCTGGGAGTCTTTGGAGACCTAGTCTGGATGTTTCTAAGGATATCAGATCTTGCCAGTTTCACATTTGGAAGTGTATCAAAAGAACAGGGGACTAGCTTCATTCTTTCTTTTCTAGCGGGAGCTTTTCCTCTCGCGCCCCAGGTCTCCCTGTGCAGGTAAAACCTGCCAGTGAGAGAACTGGGATTTTTCAGAAAATAGATTCTGATAATGGCATAGTTTGATATGAACATTTGAGGATCTTTTCCTGAGGAAAATATATACTTTCCACATTCCCCTCCCCAACACACACAAATTGTTTTTATGAGAACCAATTAATAAATGCTAATTCATTCAGGCATATCTCCACTAAATTACTGTTTTGTTTAATTGCAGGGGAATTTTCCATTACTAAACTCTCCCTTGCTGATTTTTTTTGCAATTATTTATATATTTTTTGTTTCACTAATAGTGGAGTTGGTATGTGATATTATCTGCTGTTTGTACGTCTTAGATTCCTTTTTCATTTAAAATGTTTCCTCATTCTTGCAGATCCATGTAATCTGAAAGAAACAGCATTAGAGGCAGACAAGATTTTATACATAAATGATTGAAAAAGGCCCAGACTGAAATTCATCTGACAGGCTCACATCTTGTGTGATTGCATTTCGCGCCTGTGTGTGTACGAACATGTGTGTCCACTGTGGGTTAATGCGGGGCTGTGTTCTTCTGTCCGTAAGTCAGAGGTTTTCCTATGAAAAGACTTAGTATATGCAATGAGTGAGGAAGATCGCAGGGGCTTTGATAATAAAGTAAAAGTAATAGCACTTGAATTGCTATAAGTTGTCAGAGCATAATGAATGATTTCTTGTTTCCTTTGCATGGACTCTCACATCAAAACTTTGATAATCAAATATTCCTACCAGCTGCCTCCCAAAGATTCTGCCTCTTTGTGTAGAAAAGTGGGGTGTAAGGTGATGTTCCCTTCTAAGGTGGTTTAGGGTAAAGAGTCTGTGTTCAAGAGAATGTGTTTTGAAAACAGTAACTCAGTTTTCTTATATTAAATAGCAAAAGTTCTATGCACCTGGCCACCTTCCTTTCTGAAATAAGTGCTTTCATTTTATTCTCCCAGCAGTTTCCCTCTTTCCTCCCCTCTCCCATTGTTTCCTTTTCATTGTCTTTTTCTCTTTATCCTTTATTTTCTCTCACACAGTAAAATATTCTGGAGGATGTAAATGATTAAACTGTTTACTCCAAGGTTTAGGAATGAGAAAATTTATTACCATAAGTAAAATTTCACCTTTATACCCAAACTCCATCAATAATTACGGAATGAGGATGACCATTAGTAATTCTTCCTTATAATTAGCTCTTACAAAAAATGATTTCATTTATTCTGAGTGCACTTAGTACTATTGTTTTTTACTTTTTGCAAAAATTAACTACAAAGTGGAGAGACCTACTCTGATATGAAGTTGCTAGATAAAAGGCTTGTGGATATACATACACCCATGAGAAAAAATGTACCCATAAAATGTGCACCTTATTAAAATTAGAGATTTGAAGCCATGACGAGAAAGTTTTGACATATTATATTAGATGCTCTCCTTTGAACCAAAATGGCTCTTAATAATTAAAATTCCACGAGACTGATTTTTTATTCTGTTTCCTTTACTTCCTTTGTCCTAAGCAAAATTAGGTAAAGTCCTTTTGGGTACAGACTGGTAAAATTAATTAACTTTCCTTCTAACCCCCAAAAAGTCCCAAATAAATGCTTCCAATAGACATCAAAAACTGTCAATTAGAAATAATTACTTCTTATCAATCAGTGGGGCAATTAAAGTGACAAAGCTTGAAAAGATACTTATCTTAAAACTAATTCACAAGGTAGCTAAATTATCTCCTAATTAACTTGCATTGAGCAGGGTGGGAGGAGAGACCATCTTGAAACAAAGATGAATTGAGGGACCCCAATACCTCTTTATGTGCTTCAACCCTGCTTCTTGCAGAAGACCTTATTTTTACCCGAAGAAACCCGGAAGAAAACAGATCCTTCCCAAACGCATTTATCTCTTTCCTCCGTTCTAAATCCAACGTAGGAAAGGGCTTTAGATTTCAGGCTGGGCAATTTAGAGGCGTTCTTTCTCCTTGATTTTAGTTCTCATTTTACCTCTAATTTCACAGCGGCTTTACCCATCTTCAAGATGGTTTGGGGGGCGGTTGCGAGAAGTTGTTTCAGGTAACTTTTAACGGGTGTCTTGATTTTACAAAACTCCCTCCCTCGTGGACACCGTATTGTTGCTATTTGCATGTTCACGTGGCATTTGTTCTTTCTCCTGCCTCTTTGAACATTTAAAAAAAAAAATGATTTTGCTGTAGAGGATTTTGTTCCCTGATGCAACAAAAATCCCGGCGGATTTTCACGGAAACGCTCAGCCCATCGCCGAATCAGAATAATTCCGCTCGCGCCAGTCCTTCAGAATACAGCTGTAGAAGAGAAGATACTAAGATCTCGCTGTAAAATAAGATTAGCCAAGGACGAGCCACGGCTGAGCCTCCGTGGCCTGGGCGGCAGAGGCCGCGCAGGAAACTTTCCCTGGGCGACTCAGATGATCAGAAAAGGGTGCGCTTCGCCTCGCTCGCGCGAAATTCCAAACCGACGCTCGCGCCCTGGAGTTCGCTCTTTAGAAAACTTACACCGGGGAAATCTCCAAATACAAAACTCAGAAAAGGAGGAACCTGGGGAAAACTGGGAAACTGCTAAAACCAGAGAAAATGAGTTTAAAAGAGCAAGATGGCTAGCTTATGAATTTAGCTCTAGAGATAGGCGGCGGTGTCAAGTAAACTGACCAGAAAGACAGAGGGTCCTAGTTCAGCTTTTTCTTTCTTTTGAGAGAGAGGCTTGGGGGGCGGGGGGGCGGCGGAACCCGGACAGATTTGAGCCGGTAGAGGTGTTTTGAGCAATTTTCATTTTCTTCTTTGTTACGTTTAGCATTAAATTAAACTAACGGAGAAAGTTCCCTTCTCCCTTCCTCGAAGCTTTATTTGTTTTGGGGTGAGGGTGGGAGAAACCGCTTTGGCTTCCCCAGACAGAAAAATACCAGGCGGGGCCGGGGCAGATGGCTCCCTCTTCAAACCCAAGGGCAATCTGCATCTGAGCTAATGGGAAAGCAGGGTCTCAACATCTGGGACTGTTGATTAAAAGTAAAGTAAAAGTAAATGGTGCCTTTTGTCTTTCTTTAATTCCCATTTATTCTGATGAGTGCTTCTAGAATGAAACCATGTAGAGAAATAATTAATAATATTAATAAGCCAGCACGAGAGCCTGTAAAGGAGTTAAGTTTTCTGACAGCGTCGGAGGAAAAGGGTCCTGCGCGGGACGATGAATTCGAGGTTCTGGAGCACCCACTCCTCCAACCATCTCCCAAAGGGGTCAGTGGAAGATGGGGTTGGGGGAAATGCAACCCCAGATCCGAGTTGAAGTGGTCAGGGCCAGCACGGCCTGGAATCAGGCAAGGGGCCCCTTGCGCTGGGCCTTGGGAACCCGTCTCATCCAGGGGTGTGGGCGGCGCCCGGTATTGTACCCGGTTTTGGCTGAAAGCTAGGGGACTGAAACCTTGTTCTGGCTTCAGAAAGTGGCCCAGGAGCTCGCACGGCTGTGCGGGAGTAGCCGGCTAAGGGATGCCAGGCAGGTCCGCCCGGTTCCTGGCCTCGCTAAACCCGCGGCACCGGGGGTGGAGACCTCTCGGCTCCTAAAGCTGCCCCGCGCGCGCGCAGGGGGCAGCCGGCGCGTTAAAGCCCCACTTTCGGAGCGAGCCTGGGGGCAAGGAGCGGGTATTCTGCTGACTCCGCCCGCCGCCATTCTCGGGCCAGCCCGGGTGAAAAACCTTTCCGCGCCCCAGGGGCCTGCCAGTGCCCCTCCCGGGGAGCCTGGGCCCTCGGACCCCGACTTGGAGGCGCAGCGCGGCCCCCGCGGCGCTCTCGGCTAAATAGAGATCTCAGCGGCGCGGCGCGCGCGATCCGACCCTCCTTATTATAACAAATGTCCCGTTTGCCGAGCGGGACTTCATATTCGCGGAAAATTCATCTGAAATATTGATTTCCTCTCACTTCCCCGGCCCAAATCGATAGCGATGCGCCCTGGCCCCATAAATCGCCTTCCCCGCGGTCCGCCCAGCTCCATCCATCACCGCCGGCCGGGCCGGGCCGCGCTCCAGCCTGCTGCCCGCACCGCCCGCGCGCCTGGCCTGCAGTGCCCACCGCGTCCCCAGCCCCGACCCTGGGGATCCTCCCGCCGCAGACCGCCCGGCCCGGGCCCTACCAGGCGCAGCGGGAGGAGCTTTGGCACCGTAGAAGGGCCTGGGCCCCAGTGCAGGCGGGGAGGGGGTTCGGATCCGCAGGCGGCGGAGTCTGGGCCAGCGGGCGCCCCACGCGCAGCTCCCCACCTGCCCCGTGCGGAGCTGGGGAGAATCCAGGAGCAGAGCACCAGAGTGCGCTCCTGGCTACCAGGCCCAGGACCCCAGTCTCCTTTCCCCTTGGCGTTAGAGATGTGAGAGGCTCGTGGTTCCAGCAGGGTAGTCCCCGCAAGCGCCGAGCACAACCGGAGACCAGGGCTTAGAGGTCCTGGGCAAGGGCGCTGCAAGTCCAGCACCTGTGCGGCCCAGGCCTGCGGGAGCGCTCGATGTCCACCCTTATAGGCCGAGCAGGGCCTTTGCAGGGGCCCAAAGGACAACCCTTGTGACCCCGTAGAGAACCCCTCACCGCTCCGTGTGGTCCGCAGAAACCGAGGCCTGGGAAGAGCGGCTCAGCCTGGTCGAGGGACACCCGGGACCAGCTAGGCAGATCCAGCCGACAGCCAGGCCCGAGGCGCCCCCAGCTGCGTCACCACACAGGTGGGTCCCACAAGCCTCGATCGTCAGCTCCCGAGTCCCACCGACCCAAACGCACGCACGGACGGACGCAAGGCGGCGCGGGGGCTCAGGGTCCCGGCTACGCCGCCGCGGTGTCCTTACCCGATCTGATGGAGTTGTGAGGCATCGCCGGGGAGTCGCTCGCAGCCTTTGGAACACTGGGGCTTCCTAACACAGGTCCAGGCTGTGCCCGCTCCGCTGCCCTGCGGAAAAAGGACCAGGGGAAGGGGCATGAGCTTCGAAGCCCTCAGCCTGACTGAGGTCTCCCCTGCAGGCCCTATCCTTTAGACTTCCATCGCGTGTCAGGAGTCCGATGATTTTTTAGGTGAAGGGGTGTCAGTCTCAGGTTGGCCGATTCAATATGCCTGTCCGAAGGATCAAGGGATTGGGGGTGTGTGGAAGAGCCGCCAAACTCCAGCCTGCCCAGGTACCTCTCCTTCCACTGCCCCAGCGTTATGTTATCCTATTTAACTTGGCAGAGAAAAGGCTGCCGGTCTTGCTGGGACCCTCTCCTTTCTCTCAGCCCCATTCTCTCCCAGTCACCTCCTTGCTCCCCGGGGCGGCTTACCTGGCCGACTGGCCGCAGGCCCTCACTGCCTGCGTCCACCTGTCCACCACGGTGTCCTGGGCCCAGCGTCTCTCCTGGTTGTGAAGTTTGTTCCCATCCACCCAGCATCGCCGACCGGTTTTATCCCGCCGAGGCCCTGGGAGATGGGGCTGGCGAGGCTCGCAGGCCGCGGATTGGCTGGCTGGGTGCAGGGGGGTGCGGGAAGGGGAGGATTTTGCAAGGGGGACATGGCTGAGTGGACTCAGGAGTTAGAAACATTCGCTGGAGCTTCTGTTTCCAGCGGAGGGAAGAGAGGGAGGCAGCTGAGCCCTAACACAGCAGGCCTGGGAATATTGGAGGAGTGGGAGCTGGAGGCCTCAGGGCCTAAGCTGAGGTTCTCTGGGGCCTCTTGGGGTCGCTGACCACCAGAGTGAGAGATTTGGTCTCCGCTGGGATACCCTGCAGCCCTCCTCTGTCCGCTCCTCTGCTCACCTGGAAGTACTCTTCTAAGGAGGGGACTTTTGCTTTGGTTCTCCCAGTTCTTTCTTAGAAGCCTGTCCACAGGGCTGCAGGCACCATGGTCCCACCCCCGCAGGCTGGTGGGGATCTCTTCCAGGCAGGCTCCTGAACATCCTGAAGCCTATGGGCCACATAGAGAGGATCTGCACCCATATACTGTTAGCCTAAGGGAAGTAGTTACATGCCCACGGCCCCAGGACTCCCCTGTCCTCCAAAGGTATGCACAGCCACCTGCCCTGTTTTACTCCTTGAGGATTTTGAACTTGAGAGAAGAATTTGGGGGGAAGAGCAGTGACGATCTAGATTTCACCTCCTCTGGAAAGATCTTAGAAAGGGACAATACTGGGGTGACCTTTGGCCTTGTCTGCAGGAATCAGCAGCTTCTGAAGTGTGAGGTTCTTGTGTGGATAAGAAGGGTGGTCCCCTGGGTGGGAAGGACAGGCCCTTAGTGGTGGTGAAAGTTGTCCCCTCCTTCTTCATAGCTTGTCTTTCTGGGTACAGGAAATCAGGATGCAGGGAAGACTGTGTGTAAACATGCAGAAGCACAGCTCCCACAGCCAATGGGGCAGGGCCTGGGTGCTCCCCCAGGCTTAGGCCAGGTCCCTGGACTGTCCAGGAGCAGAACTGAGAAGACAGCCCTGTGGGCCTGGAGAAGGTAGCCTGCCTTGAGAGACTGCTGAAGATGCTAAGTTGCTACAGGGAGACGAGGCAAGGGAAGGTGCAGAGGAACCTAGAGGATATTTAGGGGATGTGCGCATGCACCCGTGTCTATGTGAAAACTCACAAACAATTTTTCTTCATGAAAAACAAAAATTCAGTACCTCTTCCCACCCAGTCTTTCTCATCTTTCCATTTAGGAGAAATTTGTCATTTTGTGAGGCGATAGAAACATATTGCTATGTAAATGTCCCACACTTGTAAAGGGGTCTAAATGAAAGTATCCAGTGCTGTGTTTTAAGTATTTCTCCAAAACTCTTATTTCATATTGATCTGTGGTTTTAAGAGGTCCAGATCCTCAACTTCGCTGGTCAGCCTCCCCGGAGGGAGAAGGTTGAAGGTGAGGCTGGAAGTAGATCTTGACACAGGTCCCATGGATTCCACGGGCCACTTTGCCACCATGGCCTCTACTCTGCCATGTCAGGGAGCAGGTTGAGTGCAGAGGCTGCAGCAGAGATGCCCACCATCGTGCACCAGGCTCCTTCCCATCAGGCAGGCAGTGCTTCACAGTGAGTCTGACAAGTGTTTATCCTAACCAAGCCTGAAATCCCCAGGTTCTACCTGAGCCAGGCATCTGAGAGACGCCAATAACCAGAGAAACTTGCTCATCCATTCTATCCAATGTTTTTTTTTTTTTTTTTTAATTAACTAACAAATCTCCTGTCTTCATTTGCTTTTTGGGCAAATGTTTTCAAAGACCGAAGCAAGCAACTTATTAAAAATATTCCTGTTTTATGTGTGAACATTTAAAAAACATCACTTCACTTGAAAACATAATACACAGCTATGTAACACTACCCTTTAAGGAAAGGCGCACACACACACTTGGACAGCACCCCTTCTGCAGTGTGACAGGAGGATTCTCAGCAGAGAAGACCTCTAGAACCAACCAGCAGTAAGGAGTTTGTGAGCAGAGATAAAAACAACTGTCCAAGCTTTCTAATTACAATTGGAAATCAGGTCTGAATTCCTTGGTACTTTCTGATGCTCCAAGACCAAGGCCAAAAAAATGTCATTATCCTTTACCCTCTGTCTTCCTGGCATTATTTTCTTCCTCCAGAAAATGAAGGGTTTAAATATATATTGTAATATGATATAATATAACACAAATATTGAAATTCCCTTCGTCAAAGTTTTCCTTCAAGCTTCTACAAATCTCAAGCCTCCCATTGACTTTATTTGAAAGTTCACATATGTGTGCTTCATTACTCTGAGTTCAATAGGACACTGAGAACTCACTTTAAAATCAACACTTCCTTCACTACTGCATCTTCTCCAGTGTGATCCCTGTAAGGTTTTCCTGCCAAGCTTATCAACTGGCAACTTATGGTGTCCACCTAGTTATAATTTTTAAAAACTCAGTGTTCTTACAAGAAAATTTTATTTGTTGGCAATAGTAAAATGCAAAGCCAGAGAGGGGAAAATAATAACTGGCTTGTTTAAAAATTTGAGAAATCTGGCCACAGACCTGAGTGTTTCTTTGTAGAAATGACTATTCTTTCATGTTTAACCTTCCAGTAATCCCAGGTAACTGCTCAACTCTAGTAAGTTTTTGAGTTTGCATAATATTCTGTGACTTTTAACTTCTGGGTCAATTTGCGGGTCTTTCTTTCCAGATTTTAGCTGAGAAGTCTACTGCCCTGCTGATAAACTGTCTGGCTTTCCACAGATGAAATTCTGGGCCTTCTCTACATGTGAGATTTCCAGTTCTAAAACTTGGGCTGTCCTGGGAACAGTAAGTTGAGCTACTGATTAGAGATGCGGAGGAGATGGTTTGGGGGGTCTCTTGGAAGCAGCTCAGAGTTTCACCTGACTACTAGGTGAGTGTTTGATTGCTCAGGTGGAATGTTCCCACTTGCCCCCTCAGGTGACAAAGCCTTTATTCTCCAGCATGGTCTATGGGGCCCCTTCCCCTAACCCAGGTGCCCCAGCAGAAGAGACCTGGGTCACCTCCTCCCCTTCCTCCTGAGGTCTCCAAATTCTCCTTGTGCAGCCCTTGGGGAAGAGCTCTGTCCCTGGCAGTCCTCCTGTGCCAGTTCCTCTATGTGATGAATCACTCAGGGGCCAAAGTGGATCCTTTAGGAAGAAAACAGCAGCTTTCTACTTTGAGGCACAGCCTGGGTGTTTTTACCCTGACTGTGTGAAATGGGACCTCTTCCTCCCTCTGGGCCTCAGTTTCCTCTTCTGTAGGATGTGGGTGTGAGCTCGGGGGGAGTGAAACCTATGTCTTAGCTTTGTTGTGAGGATGAATAGAGTTATGAATGTGAAAGCCCTTTGAGAACTACTGCTCTGTACAAAAGTTAATTATTATTAGACAACAAAAGCAGGGGCAATGCGTCCAAGAAGGGCAGAGTTAAAACTCCTCTAATATTATGCTGCAGAAGTCGGTTCCTTTAATCCTTCCTCAAAGCATGATGAGTTGTTTTTTTTTTTTAAGCCACCTGAGCCGCTGGGTTCAAGCTATTGGAGAGGAAAAAGCCAGAGAGCTGGAGCTTGTGGGTGCAGGGTGGGTGCTGGAGCTGTGGTGGCACAAGACTACCTACTGGGAGCAGAAAATATCCTTTCACCCAAAAGAGGAGCACAGCTAGTAGCAGCAGGGAAGCAACAGCACCTGGCAGCTCCAGCTGGCTGCGTCTCCAGTTTTTGGAGGGCAGAAGCACCCAGGACACCTGCGGTTTTCACATCCCCTCTCCTGTCACGGACTTTCCCAATCCTGCCACAAGGGATCTCTACTGGGTCTACCCTGTCCCCACACTCAGGAAATGGCCAGCAGCCTGCCCTAGGGCCTCCTGGTGGCTGTGTCTGAGAATCAATCATTAATTGCTCCATGTTCCCCCTCCCCCAGGCTTGCAAAACACAGAAATAGAAATACAGGTCCTGGCAGGTGAAAGGAAAGGGCCGCTGGCTGAGGGGAAGGCAGTTTGGAAAAAGCCACCAGTGGCATTTGTCCAGTTGGGTAGAGTTGGAGATGTGAGCTGGGCACATGTCTCTTGGGCTGTCTGCCCACCCCATGTCCCCTTGGCAGCGGCCACTGGGCTACTGTGGGAGAACCTGCTACTTCCTGGATGGGGCAGGAAAAATCCTCACTGGGGAAGCAGAAAGAAAGGTGACCTGAAGGAGAAGACTGGGTCAGTACATAGAAGAGGTATCATAGCTCTTTTCTTCTCTGGTTATACTTTTTATAAGTTATAAATAACAAGTTAGATCCTTTTTGTAATCTGCTTTGCAGACGTAAAAGTGAGTCCTAGAAAGCTAGTAGGACCAGGGTCACCCAGCTGTAGGTGATTGACTCAATGGCTTAATAAGACCTTAAGTCGTGGAAATTCTGCTCATCCCAGGCTGGGCCCTTACGCTACCTAGCACCTACCCCTGTCCCATCAGGAAGGAAGGTTCTGGAACTTAAAGAGTGGCCAGAAAACTCTGCTACAAAAGAGTAGCTGACCAGGCAAAAATGTCCTCCACTCGGTCAGGCCCTTCTGGTCCAGCCACAGTAGTGGGAGTCAGGACACTGGAATCCTCTTCCGTCAAGGCCAGGGTACTGAGTGGGCTGCCCTTCCAACAGATGTTCCTGGGGAAACACCAAGGAAAAACCCAGGCCCAGGGCTTTTCATTAGACTCAGGACTGGTTCTGTTTTCTGTGGCTCTGGAATGCCACAGGTTCTTGCTTTTGTCCCCAACCTTCTCCGCTTGGGTCCTGGAGGGTTTCTGGCATATTCTGAAGAGAACTGTCTTGGGTGCTTGTCTGCACTCCTGTGAGCCTAAGCTCCCTTCAAGAGTGTCCCCTACCAGTTACTATGATGGCAGCCCCTGCCTTCCCTTTGCTCGGAGGAGCAGCTCTGTGCTGGGGGGCAGGGCCTTAGGATGCCCACTTTTCTCGCTATGCTCGGTGGATGTCCTTGCTACTCCATGGCCCCTGTACTAGGATGATCATGCCATCATATTGAGGAAATGCTAAGCACT